TTTTTTCTTTTTCCTTTTTTTCTCTAGTTCTCATGGCCACCTTTTCTCATGGGCTCCACTATATTAGTTATTCTTCTAACCATGAAGCATCTGGTATGAGTTCAACTAACTTTTCATCAATTCTCTATTTATCATCCTCTTTACATATTTACGTGATATATGATTTAGTTGATCCTCGTTTACAGGGGAAGTCCAGAAAGTCCTTGCGCTTTTTACGAGCATCTGGTCCCCTTACAGCTGTAGTTCTGGGTACGATCTTTGTGAAAGTGTATCATCCATCTTCAATTTCATTGGTGAGAATTGCTTGAACGATGAGTGGCTATGATATATAACTGTCAAAAAAATATCAGTTGCTATCTTGATGAGTAATTGCTAAGAATTTAACCTTGATAGACTATACTTAGATATATGTGATATATTTGGCTACTGTTCTAGGTTGGTGAAATACCTCAGGGGTTGCCAAAGTTTTCTTTCCCAAAGGAATTTGAGCACGTAAAGTCGTTGATTCCAACAACAGCTCTTATTACTGGTGTGGCTATTTTGGTAAGAGAAATATTTATTATTATTTACCTCAACTATTATGTATCTTCTATTACTTTAATTCCTAGCATATTTGGTGCCATGCCCTTTTTCTTGGTTAACGGATGTAATGTTAATTTTGTGTATAGGAATCTGTGGGCATTGCCAAAGCACTTGCCGCGAAGAATGGATATGAGTTGGACTCCAATCAAGAGGTTGGTTGTTAACATTATCTCTTGTAACGTTGCTTGCTGCATCTCAGGTTCCTTTGTCATAAACGTAGGCAGGCATGTTCTTTCCTACCAATTTGAAATTGAAAATCGACCCTCTTTTAGAACATGTTGAATTTCCATTATAAAGTATCCTAGGTCAAAGATATGTACAAGGATGCGATGACAAAGGACAAGGATATGTACAAGGATGCGATGACGTGTGTTCGAACATGTGGGGGCGATACCAGCGACTTCCCAATTAAAATAGGACTACACCAGGGGTCAGCATTGAGCCCTTATTTATTTGCCTTGGTGATGGATGAGGTCACAAGGGACATACAAGGTGATCTCCCTTGGTGTATGCTCTTTGCTGATGATGTGGTGCTAGTTGACGAGAGTAGGGCCGGGGTAAATAGGAAGTTAGAGCTGTGGAAGGACACGTTAGAGTTAAAAGGCTTCAAACTTAGTAGGACGAAAACCGAGTACATGACGTGCGCTTTCAGCATGGCTACTCATGATGATGGTGATGTTAGCCTTGGCGGGCAAGTGGTGGCCAAGAAGGAGACTTTCCGGTATTTAGGATCGATGCTACAAAAGGATGGCGGCATTGATGAAGATGTTAGGCATAGAATTGCAGCCGGTTGGTTGAAATGGCGTCAAGCTTCGGGCGTTCTCTGTGATAAGAGGGTGCCACAAAAGCTAAAAGGTAAGTTCTATAGGACGGCGATTCGTCCGGCGATGCTATACGGTGCTGAATGTTGGCCTACAAAAAGGCAACATGTCCAACAACTAAGTGTAGCAGAGATGCGGATGTTGCGTTGGTTTTGCGGGCACACAAGAAGAGATAGAATCCGAAATGAGGATATTCGTGATAGGGTCGGGGTGGCCCCAATTGAGGAGAAATTGGTTCAACATCGGCTGAGGTGGCTCGGACATGTCCAACGGAGGCCTCCTGATGCACTGGTGCGCAGGGGAGTTCTACAGCGGGTCGATGTTGTTAAGAGAGGTAGAGGTCGGCCTAAACTCACTTGGGAAGAGTCGGTTCAGAGAGACCTTAAAGATTGAAATATCTCCAAGGATTTAGCGGTGGATAGGAGCGCTTGGAGACTAGCGATCAACGTGCCGGAACCGTGACTTTTGCTCCTTTCTCTTTTGCTCCAATCTTCTTTTTTTTTTTTTTTTTT